CATTGTGAAAAGGGATGAGCTTCGACTATCATTGACATTGATAGAACCGAATATTAAAAAAAAAAAAAAAAACCTCGTAGCATGGCATCAATCCCCAGGATCTCATTGAATAAATCTGCACTTTTTAAATTTATTAATTACTAAATATTTCAAAATGGTTTCTGAGGAGTTATTTTTACTAATGTACCTAAATATTCCATAGGATTTAGTTGTTAAATGCAAGTTTATTTTCATTAAATTAGTTTTACTTCAAAATAAAGCATATACATTGACTATTTCTACAATGCAATTTCGTCCTCAGCAAGACGATAAACTACGTCCAGCAGCAAGGGCTCTGATCAGGAGGTTTTGAGGAGCATGGAACCACCTCTTAATTGCTGATATTCCCAGGTCCACCCTGACAGGGGGTGGTAGCACCTGTTAGGGTCCCAGCTATGGGCAAATAGTTAACTATTACCAGCAATACTTTTTTGAAAAAAATTATTACCAGCAATACCATTTTGAATGAAAAATATTACCGGAAATAAATTTTTAACAAAACAAAATATTACCAGCAATAAAAAATATTGTCGGCATTAAATAACCCATTGAGATTGATATGCCGTGAAACAAAATAAACCGAATATAAAATAATTATTAAACTTACCTATTTGTAAAAAATAAAATAAGCTTTTTCTTTCGTTAAATGGTTATGGGGGCGTCCACGAAAAAAAAAAAAAAAGAAAAAAAATTAAGAATAAAATTAGTCCATGGGTACAAAGTGGTCTATGGGTACAAAGTGGTCTATGGGTACAAAGTGGTTCATGATTACAAAGTGGTCCATGGGTACAAAGTGGTCTATGGGTACAAAGTGGTTCATGAGTACAAAGTGGTCCATGGGTACAAAGTGGTCCATGGGTACAAAGTGGTCCATGAGTACGAAGTGGTCCATGGGTACGAAGTGGTCTATGGGTACAAAGTGGTTCATGAGTACAAAGTGGTCCATGGGTACAAAGTGATCCATGGGTACAAAGTGGTCCATGAGTACGAAGTGGTCCATGGGTACAAAGTGGTCCATGGGTACAAAGTGGTCCATGGGTAAAAAAAAGGGTGAGAACCACAGATGTAGGTGATCACAGCTTTATTTTAATATATGTAAATCCTTGGGAAGGATCAGTTATGTTCTCTACGTGATACACCCTTAGGCGACCATGTATCTGTCAATACATGACTAACGAGGCAGATTTTTTTCCCGCATTAGGTTGCCATTTCTTTCGGCAGTAGACCAGTGGTCATCTAAGGCCAGTCTCTCCTGCTATTTATTGCCGCTATCCATGACTACACCGTGCCTCCTCATACGCTAGCAATACCACCTTTTCACAAAAATACAGAGGTCGCCTTCATCTATCTATCTATCTATCTATCTATCTATCTATCTATCTATCTATCGCGTCGGCAAAATGTATGATTTTTTTTCCAATTGTCATTTGATACCAATCTGTCTTGTCCACAGAATACATCTGGGAATCTATCTATCTATCTATCTATCTATCTATCTATCTATCTATCTATCTATCTATCTAACTATCTATCTATCTATCTATCTATCAAGCATTGAACTCACGACTTTTTGGATCAAGTTAATTTTAGATTATTCAACCAACGCTTTTGTTCACTGGGACATGTGTCCAGTGAATATGACAATAAAGATGAGAATAACAGTTCGAACGATGTCAGTAGTTTAAATGTTCATATTATATTGCAATAATAAACATCAATTACAAGAAGCGAGAAGGCATGGTTGTCGGCAAAATGAACAAGACCAACATGTAAATTACATATTGGAGATAACGAAATTTAACAGGTGCAACACTTTAGTTGACGGGAGACGGGCAGCGAAACACTGAAATCCGAAGGTGCATTGATATAGAGAAAGATGCCTTTCAAAAGTTGAGCAAAGTATTAATAAAAAGAAATATATCGTTAGAAACAAAGAAAAAAGCACTGAATTGTTATCTAATGTCAGTCCTCCTATATGGCAGTGAATGCTTGACAATCTGCTCATAGATGAAGAAGAGACTTGAAGCAACAGAAACAAAGAAAAGAGTACTGAACTGTTATGTAATATCAGTCCTCCTATATGGCAGTGAATGCTGGACAATCTCCTCATATATGAAGAAGAGACTTGAAGCAACAGAAACAAAGAAAAGAGTACTGAACTGTTATGTAATATCAGTCCTCCTATATGGCAGTGAATGCTGGACAATCTCCTCACAGATGAAGAAGAGACTTGAAGCAAGAGAAACAAAGAAAAGAATACTGAACTGTTATGTAATATCAGTCCTCCTATATGGCAGCGAATGCTGGACAATCTCCTCACAGATGAAGAAGAGACTTGAAGCAACAGAAACAAAGAAAAGAATACTGAACTGTTATGTAATATCAGTCCTCCTATATGGCAGCGAATGCTGGACAATCTCCTCATATATGAAGAAGAGACTTGAAGCAACAGAAACAAAGAAAAGAATACTGAACTGTTATGTAATATCAGTCCTCCTATATGGCAGTGAATGCAGGACAATATCCTCACAGATGTAGAAGAGACTTGAAGCAACAGAAACAAAGAAAAGAGTACTGAATTGTTTATGTAATATCAGTCCTCCTATATGGCAGTGAATGCTGGACAATATCCTCGCAGATGAAGATTGAAGCAACAGATACAAAGAGTACTGAACTGTTATGTAATATCAGTTCTCCTCACAGATGAAGAAGAGACTTGAAGCAACGGAAATATGGTTCTATAGAAATAAAATGGACCGAACATGTAAGCACCGACGAAGACAATATCCACAAAAAAAGACATACATAACACCAGGAAGAAACAGTTGACATTTCTGGGTCACATAATGAGGACAGGAAGCTTGGAAAATTTGATGCTCACAGGTCAGATTGAGGGTGAAAAAGCCAGAGGAAAGCAACGCACAACAGTTGATGAGCTTATGTGAATGTATAGAGGAGCAGGTTTTGGGAGAGGTGGCAAAAAGACATGATTTATTAAGGGCTACAAAAGGCAGAGACTTTTGGAGAGGCATGATTGCGAACGCCCTGAAGAAACACGGCACATAGAAGAAGAAGAAGAAGAAGAAGAAGAAGAAGGAGGAGAAAAAGGTGGATGGGTAGAAGAAGAAGAAGAAGAAGAAGAAGAAGAAGAAGAAGATGGAGGAGGAGGAGGTGGAGGAGTAGAAGAAGAAGGAGGAGGACGAGGAGGAAGAGAAAAGGTGGATGAGTAAAAGAAGAAGAAGAAGATGATGAGGAGGAGAAGGTGGAGGAGTAGAATAAGAAGGAGGAGGAGAATAAGAATAAGAAGTAGTAGTAGTAGAATAATAATAATAATAAAAATAAGAAGATGGAGGAGGAGGAGGAGGAGGAAAAGGTGGATGAGTAGAAGAAGAAGAAGAAGAAGAAGATGGAGGAGGAGGAGGTGGAAGAGTAGAAGAAGAAGGAGGAGGACGAGGAGGAAGAGAAAAAGGTGGATGAGTAAAAGAAGAAGAAGAAGAAGATGGAGGAGGAGAAGGTGGAGGAGTAGAATAAGAAGGAGGAGGAGAATAAGAATAAGAAGTAGTAGTAGTAGAAGAAGGAGAATAATAATAATAATAAGATGGAGAAGGAGGAGGTGGAGGAGTAGAAGAAGAAGGAGGAGGAGGAGAATAAGAAGAAGAAGAAGAAAAAAGACGAAGAAGTAGGAGGAGGAGGAGAAGGAAGAGGTGAAGGAGAAGAAGAAAATAAAATGGTGGAGGAAGAGTAGAAGTAAGAGGAGGAAAAGAAGACGAAGAAGAAGAAGGAGTAGGAGATGAAGAAGAAGTAGGAGAAGGCGAAGAAGACGAAGGGGAAGAAGAAGCTTAACAAATTCAGCTTCAAAATTGTGCATCGTGAGTGTCAATACCTTAAATAGTTTTAGTCCATTAAGTTTTTGAATTTGTCTATTCTTCTGCAATCAACTGGTGTACTCTGCCATTATAATTACCCTCACACACTTTGTTGTTATTTGAATTTTGTCACAATGAAAAGAGTGAGCAAAATAAAGTAGCCCTTCTATAAAAAAAAAAAATTAAATCAATTTTATATCTTTTCAAACGAATCGGAAATATGTAAAAGACAAGTTGAAAAAAATTGGAAAACTGCGCCTAGGAAATAGTGGATTCTTTCGAAACATCAGTCAGAGAATTTATTAAATTTATTATTCATAAAATTCTTCACTCGCAGCGATGATAATATTTGCATAAATTGGAATTTTTGATATCAGCTTTCTCTCCATTTCGTCAACAGCTGCGTTGGCGGATGATGGCGTGGCTGGCATTATCAGCAACCAATCAGAAAGCAATCTTTTCCTTGGTGTTTTACAAACACTTGGGAGAAGGAAAGAAACGGTTTCGTCTTCGACGACATTTTTTTACCTGTTTATCCTTCCTCTTGAAAATTTTTGTTGTCACATATTTTTTTCTAGAAATTGTTACTTTCTAGAGAATTTTCACACAGCCTTATCTAGCGGCAATCACAGGAAAAAGAATCGATAGTAAATGTCCTGAACATCCCAACACATTCCTAATTATTATTATTATTATTATTACTACTACTACTACTACTACTACTACTACTACTACTACTAGTACTAGTAATAGAATATTTTACGGTTTTTCTTAATCGAATTTTCTGATGAATTTAAAACTTAATGATTGAATAAACTCCTTGCAGGTACCACGACTATAAAATACCCGTGAAAAGATGCACGTTGAAACTGGTTCCCGTACGATCACCGAAGTTAAGCAACGATTAGCCTGGTTAGTGGCGGGGATGAGTGACCGATTGGGAAATAACAGGTGCTGTAAGCTTGGATGTACGGCTTACGGTCATATCACGTTGAAACACCAGTTCGCGTACAATCATCAGATTTAAGCAACGTTGAGCCTGGTCAGTGCCTAGATGAGTGACCACTTAGGAATACCAGATGCTGTACTTGAGGCTTACGGCCGTATCACATTGCAACATCGGTTCCCGTACGATCACCAAAGTTAAGCAACATTGAGCCTGGTCATTGCCTAGATAAGCGATCGCTTGGGAATAACAGGTGCCGCAAGCTTGTATGTGCGATGGTGCAATAGAAACACTAGTTCTCGTACGATCACCAAAGTTAAGCAATGTTGAGCCTGGCCAGTGCCTAGATGGGTGACCGCTTAGTAAGCTTAGGTGTGTAATGAATAACGGCTTCTTAAGCCGAGTCCGCTTCCCGTTGGGTTCGTTATATTCACTAAACACACAAATACTCTTGGGAAATGTAGGAATCCACCTTTTCTCCCCTAGCTATGGGTTAAATATTAAGACTTGTATCTCAAAAATATTTAAATTTTAGCATTAAATAACTCAGAGTAGTATTGATATGACGCTGAACAAAAAACAACTAGTCAATCCCCTAAGGTATCGTTAGATATTTGAGCTTAACAACTTTAACAAAATATTGCTAATCAGAAGTATGAATACAATCTATTATTTACAGAAGTAAGAGGGTAAAAATGAAAAGATTTGAACTTAACAAAATATTGCAGTAACAATCAGAATATTTCTGAGATGAGGTATTATGTACACTCTTTATATTATTTGAGCTATTGCCCTCATCTTTGTTGCCATATTTATCACAACGTTTCGGCCGTTGTACGCTCCGGCCTTCTTCAGGTGGTTGGAATGTCGAACTGAAACCTTTATTTCACTTATTGGGCTAGACTTTTCTAGTTCCACGTGCCATGTCTAATGGATGTCAGTTATCAGTTATCTACTGTTAATTCCCCTCTCCAAGTTCTCCACCGCCTTTACCAGGTATTCATCTAACACACTTTGGGTCCTGTCACTGGATCTAACTAACGCCTTTATCCACTGTGCCATATGTCCTTGAGGACATCTGTGTATGTATTTCTGGGTATTATAAACCTTATATCTTCAACAACCATTTTTCCCAGAGCTCATATTGCAATTTTTGTTGTTATTATCGGTTTATAATACCCAGAGACATTAGATAAAGAATTGGTCAGTATAAGTAGTACCCTACAACGTAACAACTACCCTGGGTACATGGCAGCATCCCCAATAAACTGGGATAGGCGGGTACAAGGAGAGGACAACAACACTCAGAAAACAATCTGCCTGCCTTATGTGTAGGGGTTATCGGAGAAAATACCAAGGATCTGCGGTCCATATAACATCAGGAATAAAAACTCTGTGTACGCCATTCCGTTCAGCTGTGGAAAGAAATATAAAGGGGAGACCCCCCCCCCTAAGGTAAAGCTTCAAGAACACTAGAAAGCTGTAACACGAGGGGAAGTGGAAAAATCAGTCGTGGCTGACCACATATGAGAAAAAAGAGAGATAACCGCCCTCTGTGGGATCGAGTTGAGATCATAGACAAGGAACACCATTAGAAAATTTGTAAACTTAAGTAATCGGCACATATGCTAGGCCATAAAAAAAATCCCCTAAGCCGACCAAGCATAGAAATGAATACAATATGGGAATTAGTAATAAGGAGTGCCAGAGAAAAGCGATAATAACAACAAAAATTACAATATGAGCTCTGGTAAAAACATGTAATGATAACAGCAAAAAATTGCAATATGAGCACTGCTAATAAATGGTTTATAATAGCCAGAAATTCATATACAGATGTCGTCAAGGACACATGGCACAGTGGATAAAGGCGTTAGTTAGTTAGTTACAGGAGCCAAAGAGTGCGAGTTCAATACCTGGTTAAGGCGGTGGAGAACTTGGAGAGGGGAATTAACAGAAGATAACAGATAACTGACATCCATTAGACATGACTCGTAGAACTAGAAGGACGCAGTGAAGGAAATAAAGGGTTCAGTTCGACAACCCAACCACCTGAAGAAGGCGGGAGCGTACAACGGCCGAAACGTTGGGATAAATATGGCAACAAAGATGAATACAATAGTCCAAATAATGTAAATAGTGTAACAATCAGAAGTATGAACGCCGGTCATTATTCAAAGAAGTGAGGGGGTACAAATGATTTATCAGTGTTGACTATCAAAATTGACAAATTTTCTATTTCACTGAAGCATTTAAACACAAGTATTATCCCCTCCTCTATCTTCTGTCTCTCTTTTCGCAATGAAACCAAACAGTATGTCTGACATATCTTTTCTTTTTTGTCTTTCGTCTCAACCAGAATGTAATAGTCAATTATTTGTTGTATTGACAGGACGTAATTTTCTTGCTATGGAACAAAGAAACAAGAAGAATTAAATCAGCAGCAAAGCTAGAAGGAATGACAACACTTTCATGCCAACGGCCTCTTTTGTGTTTGCTGTGTGAGTCTGTATTGAAATAAAAATAGTTTTAATGTCGGGACATTAGAAGTAGAAGAACCTTTTTGATTTCGAGTAACTTAAACTATGGTGTATGTATTTATATCTATCGAAGGATGGTTATCTTGGTCAAACAATAAACATTATCAAGTGATATATACGGGGCTGTTGTATCATTGTTAATTTGAAAGCGGTGTACTGACCCAGGGAGCATTCTTTGAATGCCGCAGCATCGCTTTGTCTGGGAGGCCTATCATAAAAATTTCCGTTTTTTTTCCTTGAGAGAACTTGGTTTGGGTCTAGGTGTTGTTCTATTTTTCGTCTTATGGAGGAGGAGGAAGAGAAAATTTTAGAATTTGAGTGATTGTTATTATGTCCGGACAATAAGCAATGCTGTATTCAGCGTTGTTTAATCAATGTTGACAATGTGAAACCTATGAACAAACCCAGCGTGCGTCATTTTAATGCCGCAACACTGCTGTATGTGAGTGACACATCTTGGTTGTTAGCATCTAAAATTCAGTTATTTTCCTTGTCAGAAGTTCATTTGAGGGTATCTGTTGCTCTATTTTCTGTCTTTTGGGCTTGTTTATATATTTCGAGTAACTTAAACTATGGCATATGTATTTATCTTGGCCGAACAATAAATGTTATCCAGTGATGTAGTCAGGGTTTGAGTTTAGGGTAGTTTTATCAGTGTTCACTTTAGAATACCAATGGGAATTCCCTTTCTGCGTCTTTAGATATTTGAGCTTGACAACTTTAACATAATATTGCAATAACAATCAGAAGTATGAATAGAAGTCATCATTTAAAGAAGTAATAGGGTACAAATGATTAAGAATTGACAAGAGGAATTGGTGGATACGCCTAGTACAATACTGCTACGTTATCAGTATGGAAAAGGCGAAGGGTAAATTTATTAAACTTATGAATTTTGAGAAAAATATTGGAAACAAAAATGGTTCCCCATGGGTAACATGTTTGAGATTTCAGCGGTAAGGGAAGAAAAGCGAGCAATTTACCCAGAGAATTTGTGTGAACGAGTTTGGTAGCAGAGCATGAACAAGAAGGAATTCATTTCCATTATACATATAGTTCTATAAGTAATGCTTGCCTTCATTCCTGACCACTGACAATCCCTTTATTCATGATTTTCAAAACATTCCTATAGTAAAATCATTAGCAATCGATTTCCATTATACATATAATAGCCCTATTCTATCAGTAATGCTTGCCTCCATTCCTGACCACTGACAATCCCTTTATTCATGATTTTCAAAACATTCCTATAGTAAAATCATTAGCAATGCATTTCCATTATACATATAATAGCCCTATTCTATCAGTAATGCTTGCCTTCATTCCTGACCACTGACAATCCCTTTATTCATGATTTTCAAAACATTCCTATAGTAAAATCATTAGCAATGCATTTCCATTATACATATAATAGCCCTATTCTATCAGTAATGCTTGCCTTCATTCCTGACCACTGACAATCCCTTTATTCATGATTTTCAAAACATTCCTATAGTAAAATCATTAGCAATGCATTTCCATTATACATATAATAGCCCTATTCTATCAGTAATGCTTGCATTCATTTCTGACCATTGACAATCCCTTTCTTCCTAAAATCAAAAAGAGACATTTGAAAGTTGTGGGGAAAATTGAAGAAAAAGTGTTTGGGAAATTTAATATTCAAAGGATGAATTAAGTTAGGGAGAGATGTGCAGTAGGCCAAGAACAGGACCATCACCAGGCTAATTATCAATGAGTAGAGCATCATCTTAACAACCGGGGGAGTGGAGGGGCTGGTGTCTCTGTGGATGGGTTCCCGATCATGGGGTCAGTTGACTCCTTTACAGACAGTTTCCCATGCAGTGTTTCAATGATCCACAAAACATAATTTGGTTTCCTGTTTTTTTGGCGGGGATAGGAATTGTGAAAGAGGAAATGATGGTGATAGATAGATAGATAGATAGATAGATAGATAGATAGATAATGAGCAGACTGAAATAGATAGATAGATAGATAGATAGATAGATAGATAATAAGCAGACCGAAATAGATAGATAGATAGATAGATAAGCAGACCGAAATAGATAGATAGATAGATAGATAGATAGATAGATAGATAATGAGCAGACTGAAATAGATAGATAGATAATAAGCGGACCGAAATAGATAGATAGATAGATAGATAATGAGCAGACTGAAATAGATAGATAGATAGATAGATAGATAGATAGATAGATAAAGAGAGAGAGAGAGAGAGTTAGGGGAGAGAGGGAGAGAGAGGGGAGAGAGGGGTAGAGAGAGGGGAAGAGAGAGAGAGAGAGAGAGGCGGAGACAGGTGTGCTGGCAAGATGGTGCAAATATTCCAGCCATTCGTGTTTATTAAAAAAATAATAATTTTTATCTTAAAAAAAAAGAAGTAGTAAAACTTACGCGTAATTTAAAAAAAAACGAATGAAGCATCGAATAAAAAAAATGTCTCCTGCGTCAGTTAATGCAGGACACGTCTGTCAGTATCAAAATCGAGTTTTCTTCCCCACTCCACGGAGAGGAACTAGAACAGGCTTTGCTAACCTTAAAGTTCATTGACTGTGTATTGGCAATCGAAGGTGGCGGGGTAGGGGTGAAGGTCTAATTCAGTACTGCAACTGAAAAAGTATGAAAGCGGTGAGGGACAAATTTATTAAATTTTGAGGAAAAGTATTGATCATAAAAATGGGTTCTCAAAGATAGCGGGCGGGCCTCAAACCGTCCGTGTCCTGCGCACTTGATAGTCCTGATATAAGTAGATAGATAGATAGATATCAATAGCCTTAGATAGATAGATAGATATCAATAGCCTAAGATAGCTAGCTAGCTAGATAGATATCAATAGCTAAGATAGATAGATAGATAGATATCAATAGCCTAAGATAGCTAGCTAGCTAGATAGCTAGCTAGCTAGATAGATAGATATGAACAGATGTAGATAGATACGAACATAAGAACAGACAGAAATAGGTAAATAGATATAAACAAATTTGATATGAGCAGATTGAGATAAATGGATGAATAGATAATGAACATTGAGATAGATAAATAGGTAGATCGATATGTACAAACTGAGATAAATAGATATGAACAGACTGATAGATAGATAGATAGATAGATAAGACTAAGATAGATAAAACTGAGATAGATAGATAGATAGATAGAACAGACTGAGATAAAAGACTTATATATATATATATATATATATATATATATATATATATGGAACAGATTGAGATAGAACAGACATAGAGCAGACCGAGACAAAATAGGCTGAGATAGATAGATATATAGATAGATATGAAAAGACTGAGGCAGTAGATAGAAAGAGGCTGATGCACACACACACACACACACACACACACACACACACACACATATATATATATATATAGATAGATAGATAGATAGATAGATAGATACACACAGAGAGAACAGACTGAGATAGAACAGACTGATAGATAGATATGAAAAAACTGAGATAGATAGATAGATAGATAGATTTTAATTTCGTCCAAAATTCGATCGACCCTGGTAATTCTAAAAGAAAACGCATTTAAAGGCAATCGTTCCTTTCAAAAAATCGTGTTTAATATCAATTTATAGATCAATTTTAATTCTTAATAATAGACTGAAACAATTGTCTTTTGCCGAAAATCGAATACTGCTGCCATATATGGACAGGAGTGGTTCAGTTTTCACTTTCCAGTGTCGATAGGGTTCAAAAGAGTCTCCGCGTCCTTGTGGGTGATTAATTATTTTCCCACCTACAACCCTTTCCCACAGATGAAACTTCAAAAGCCTTCTGTGACACCATTTAACAGGACAAAAAAAAAAAAAAAAAGAAAGGAAAAAGAGAAAGGAAAGAAAGGAAAAGAGAGGCGAGACTTAAGCGTAGATGATAAAAAAACACCCACGACCAGGGGCCTTGACAATGTTATTTTGATAAGTAGCAAATGGCGAAAAGGTGTCATTACCATTGCAGAAAAATTCTAAGTGGATAAGGGAATCGACTATGTTCTGGCGACGAACTTGTGTTATCGGGGATAGATAACAGCCGCTTAATGCTGGTAAACATCTAATTAGCAAACCACAGACCGACTAGCTAAGAGAACTCCAATTGATAATGTTATTTTGATAATTGACAAAGAACAGGTGAAATACAGGGCTTTGGATAGATAAGAAAAATTAACTGTGTCGTCTGCTAAGCCGCACACGAAACGAACCCTGAGTAACGACTGACCGTTTTTTGACAAGACATCTATAGGTGTTAGAGTTCGGTTGTGATAACGAAACTATGTTGTCAGAAATTGGCACCAAGAATGACCAGAACAATGGAACTGTTTTTTCGAGACGACGGTCGACTGTGTTTTGCTGGACGACCACCCATTCTGATAATTAGCGAAAATCTGACTGACAAAGTCCAGATGAGAATAGAGGTTGTCACACTACTGGTCGCATTGTTCTGTTGGCGGCCAGAGAAGATGAGATCTGCGATTAAGGAAAGAAAAGGAAAAGAAAAAGTAATTTTTTTTTGAGTAAGATATATATTTTTTCTTCCTGAAACAAAGCCAGCTGGATCGCACACGCCCAGCTGGACATCATTGGCCGGAGGTGATCACGTGACGCAAGGAGGGAAGCCGCCGCCGCCCATTTAGAGGATGGGTATGAGAGGTTGCTACGATGAAGTGGGGAGGACCGAAGACGCCCCTCTGAAGTATAGTGAGAAGGTGGGAGTAAGAGAAGACTTCCAAAAATGGAAAGAAGTGGAAAATTCCTAACCAAAAATAAAAGAAGTGGATATGTATTTAGAATTATCGAGGAACCTCCAACGCCGACAAACCCACCCCGGTTTTGGTCGGCGTTCATATAAGCCAAGTCGCAGCGAGCAGAAATCAGTTGAGTAGAGTACAGCTCAGTTGAGTTGAGTTCAGTTCAGAGGAGTTCAATCTAGAGTGCTCAGTTGAAGCAGGCCTCGCAGCTTACTAAGATTCGTGCAACTTCCGAACTCATCTTCAATCCAAGAACAATTTATTTTGAAGAGCGACTTAGATCCATACCACCAAAATAAGTTTTTCGACTTTCGCCGGAAGACACACCAAGAACCAATTTATTAAAGAACAGACAACTTAAAGTGTTAAAACTCGCCTAACAAAAAACAACGTGTCACAATCTATATAACGGGTCGGGAGATAGACGCAGTCCTATGTATCCAGCAACTAGACATAAAGTATTGTTATCCGTTTTTGATACCTTGAACTTTTGAGTTACCATTTTATTTCTTTTATACATATTTGTGCGATACTACCCTCGCTTGAACCCAACTTGCATTACGGCCCTAACGACTGATTGATTTCGTCTGCCTAAGATCAATTCACAACGTGGGTAGGCAGACTGGAGATCAACGCAGTTACTTTGGTAACCAGACGTTGGAAGCGAGTTGGGAACGACGAGGCTGATATCGAATCTAACCAGATTCCCATCCGAATCACCAAAAGGTTAGAACGTCACATTTGGGTGCCGCGACCGATACCAAGCCAGTTGGTCGTCACAGGACGGGACAACACGACTGACGCAACAGGCGGACTTCACGTTTGGAGCGGCGACACCCGAACGAAGCAGCGAAGAGCGAGCGAAGGCTGTATTTAGGGACGTCACACTTCACTTTTATATTTACACACGCTCTATCTCTGATATTGAGCACTTTATCCCATAAATATAACACACCTTAAAACTATATATAAATATTTAAATAAATGCTATGCTTATAATTAGTCCATTTTCTATAGGTGACGTCATTTGTTTACGTTAAGATACGCTTCGAGCAAATATGGATGTTCGATGGAAATCATGAGATATTTGTAGTTTAAAAGCAGTAAAACTCGACCTTGCTAACCAGACGCTCCTTCATAGCTGAACTGGTGTAGCGCGTCTAGCTATGTAACCGTTCCGTGTAGGATACAGGTTTGATTTCTGTCGGCGGACGCGTATTTTTTAGGAAATTTCTCGGACGTTTCAGGCCGGTAGATGTTGTTAATACGGTTTATTATAGATGGAGCATTTACTTAGAAATTTGTGTATATATAAATAACGTATAACAATAAAATATATTAAAATAATTGTTAGACTTAGTCCATTACGTATATACAGAATTATTTTTTTTTATATTTCTGGTGGAAGACTGCTGAATATCAAAGAGAGAGAGAGAGAGAGAGAGAGAGAGAGAGAGAGAGAGAGAGAGAGTTTATAGATATAGATAATTGTCATGGAGTTGTTGATTCCTCTGTCCTCACTGTCTATCATTTTATTTTGTTTTTTTACTAATTCTCATCTAATACAAGGCCCAAAAGCCACTCAAAGTAGTGCGTTACTAAAACCGGTGTATGGCATGGAGGTAATGTGGGAAAGTAGAAAGTGAAAATTATGAGAATTTGGATGCTAGGTACCAACTGACCCAAGACTTGAAGACTGTTACAGAAAGCAATGGTTCTTAGGAATAAGTTGTCTCAGCGCATCTTCTTGCTTACAAATGGAATACGGGGAGAATGAGTGTGATTCCAACTTGTGGATGTCACATGGTGGATCATAGCCTTTTAAAGGTATCGGCTGTCAGTGTATCTAGGGATAGTTTTGGTTAAATAGGTGAGTTAGATTTATTTGCAACTTGGTGTCATCCTGGCTGTAGAAGTGTGAGGGCGGATGGAGGGAAATATTTTCCCGCCAGACCCGTCAGTTCCGATTAGTGGGTTAATTTCTTCCTTAGTCACTTTTGACCTCAGTCAGAAAAGGAAAGGTAGGTAGATAGAGCCCAACTGTGTCACACACACACACACACACACACTTTCTTCTTTCTCTCTTTCTTTCTCTCATTCTCCACGATGACAGCCATAGATATAGCAATGCAAGTTATAGCCATTGACATTCATGACAGTCGCTGTGACTGAACTGACATGCGCTTTTAGGCGGACATTTCGATTTGTACCGTAACATCGAATTAACTGAAATCATCGGGCAAAAATTCATTGTAATTTTCTAATCGATGATTATTATTGATTAAAAGCGTTATTGCGTAAAATGTTCCGCATAAATGCATTGGAATTAAAATTAATCGATAAACTAATAAAATTCGCCCAATAAATTGAATACATTTGACAATAACGTCTTCACTGAATATATTTTAACAGGTACGAGACCGCTAGTACGGGCTGGCCATGTTTTGTCATTTGACTTGAGTTTTCCATTCTTTGTGGTGGCAGCTTGACTGGGTAATACGTGGCCTTGTATAAGTGATAGATTACAGTCATCCTACCGCTAATATTAAAAGAGGCAAGGGACAGGTTAACATTGAGAAACACTGACACACAACGAACAGATATTATGACTCATCAATTTAAAAAAAACAAACAAAAAACAAAACAAAACAAAAAAACAAACAAAACAAAAAAACAGAAAAACAAAGAAAGAGAAATATCTATTTACATTATTTCTATTCGGACTATTGTCGTCATCTTTGCTGTTGTTCTCACAAAGTTTCGGCCGTTGTGTTCTCCGGCCTTCCTCGAGTCTATATCGATCTGGGTATCCGACAGCGAATTCTGAACAGAACCCTTTATTTAATCTACAGAGGTAGACGGTTCTTATTCCATAGTTCATGTCTGGGAACATCGTCTAGTTTAGTTTCCACTAAGTGCAAGTACACCGCCCAGGGATTGAACTCAAAGCCAACGCTTTTATCCACTAGGACGTTGTCCAGTAGGACAATTTGCCGTAGTGAAATTGGAGCTTTACTCTCAGCCTGGCTGCTCATTTGGTTGTAGCTTCTGTCCGCCATGTTTTGAAACATTACTAAATAAGAATAAGAACTAGACAATTTGGCATAGTGGTTGTGAGTTCAATCCCTGTGTCGGGAAGAGTCTACTTCAACTCAGAACTGGAAACTGGTGAGCAATAAATGAGTAGTACTAAGTAAGAATAAGAACAAGACGATCTCCCTAGACATTGGCAGTGGAACGAGAACAATCTAGCTCTGTAGATTAAATAAAGGGTCAAGCTCAGAATTCCCAGTAGGTTAATCCAGATCGTTATACCCCTGAAGAAGACCTGAGGGCGCAACGATCGAAAAGTTGTGATAACGACAACAAAGATGACAATAATGCGAATATAAATAATATGATATCACATCAATTCAGTGAGAAATATCTACTTGGAGTAAACATTAAACTAATTTATATTTCTACAATATATCTGTCTATATCTCTGAGGTATTATGATTACTTGAATTATCATCTTCATTGTCATATTCACAACGTTTCGGCCGTTGTACGCTCCGGCCTTTATGTCTATGTCTCTCTATATATCTGTCTATATCTCTGAGATGAGGTATTATGATTACTTGAATTATCTACATTATTCGGATTGTTATCCTCATCTTCACTGCCATATTCACAACGTTTCGGCCGTTGTACGCTCCGGCCTTTATGTCTATGTCTCTCTATATATCTGTCTATATCTCTGAGATGAGGTATTATGATTACTTGAATTATTTACATTATTCGGACTGTTATCCTCATCTTCATTGCCATATTCACAACGTTTCGGCCGTTGTACGCTCCGGCCTTTATGTCTACGTCTCTATATATCTGTCTATATCTCTGAGATGAGGTATTATGATTACTTGAATCATTTACATTATTCGGACTGTTATCCTCATCTTCATTGCCATATTCACAACGTTTCGGCCGTTGTACGCTCCGGCCTTTATGTCTATGTCTCTCTATATATCTGTCTATATCTCTGAGATGAGGTATTATGATTACTTGAATTATTTACATTATTCGGACTGTTATCCTCATCTTCATTGCCATATTCACAACGTTTCGGCCGTTGTACGCTCCGGCCTTTATGTCTACGTCTCTCTATATATCTGTCTATATCTCTGAGATGAGGTATTATGATTACTTGAATCATTTACATTATTCGGACTGTTATCCTCATCTTCATTGCCATATTCACAACGTTTCGGCCGTTGTACGCTCCGGCCTTTATGTCTATGTCTCTCTATATATCTGTCTATATCTCTTAGATGACGTATTATGATTACTTGCATTATTTACATTATTCGGACTGTTATCCTCATCTTCATTGTCATATTCACAACATTTCGGCAGTTGTACGTTCCAGCCGTCTTCAATAAACACCGGTTTTCGACTGATCATCGAAGATAAGCAACGCCTGCTCAGTAGCTAGATGGATGACCTGTTGGGAATACCAGGAGCTGTAAGCTTGGATGTGGGAGCGTTGTAATGAATAACAGAAATCAGAGAGCGGAGTTGCAATTCCAGTCGAGTTTGTTATATTTCCTTACGCGCATATACCTTTGGGAGAAGCATCTCTTCTCCCTCCAGCTATGGGTTAAATGATAGAACTTATATCAGTAAATCATTCTTCTAAGCTTCAAGTCTAAGACCAATCAGCGAAAAGTCCTTATTCCCTTCGTATTCCACTGGTGAGATATAAGTTCCACTCGAGCAGCCTCTTCCCACGAAGAACCAACTCCCAAGGGGATACTTCAATCACTAAAATCTTCACCTGTTCAAGTCTAGTGTTAGCCATTATATTGCCCCCATATCCACATAAACTTTGCCTATTATTCTGTAACCCTCTACTTGGAGTAGCTCTTGGACCTTATATAGGGTGAGCGTCATAGTAAATAAAAAATATCTCCAAACAATTATTACAATCCAAAAATATTTTTATGGCTTTAAATAATCTGCAAAAGGTTGATAAACCGTAAACCCCCCCCCAAAAAAAAACCCAAATCGCTCATATGAAATTCTGAAATGAAAACATGAATCTTTTAGGGAGACAAAAGGCGATCATCTTTTTGGTCGAAATAATGTCACGTGAATGAAAAGAATCTCTTTTCATCCACTTTTCACTCTGCTTGTTGTTGCATATATGTTATAATTTCTCTACATGTAAATATATGCATACAATTATATCATGGAGAATTGTAGTTTAAAAACAGTAAAATCGACCTTGCTAGCCGAAACGCTTCTCTGTGGCTCAATCGGTAAAAGCATGTCAGGCTATATGACAGTTCCGTATAGGATACAGGTTCGATTCCTGTTGGAGGACGCATATTTTCTATGAAAATTTCTCGGTAAATGTTACTAATAGTGTTTATTATAAAACAGAGCATTTACTTAAATATTTGTCAGGCTATATGACAGTTCCGTATAGGATACAGGTTCGATTCCTGTTGGAGGACGCATATTTTCTATTAAAATTTCTAGAACATTCAGGTCGGTAAATGTCGTTAATACTGTTTATTATAAACAGAGAATTTACTTAAATATTTGTATCTATAAAAAAAAGAACGTATAAACATAAAACATGTCTTAAAATACAATTATGTGTATGACTTTGTGGTATAAAACTCTATCTGAGAACAAAGCATGTTTGTCATTTCTTTCCTTTCAGTTGTTCCGATCCTTCCGTGAAATACGGAATTACAATATCATGGATATAATAATCCCATATTGAACTTAAATATAAACTGGGATAATAAACCTTTCTTTCATCGATCACCTATTATCTGGTGATACCCATCAGGATGTGATATTATTTACTCTCATTAATTTCACATAAATGATTCACTAGGATCAGGTTTGTGTCGGAAATGATTTGTACGATGCGTAAAAAAAGATTTCGAACTGAAAAAAAAAAAACCTTTGATAAATTGGAAGAACGGGTGAAGGAAGTACAGCCAAAAGTTTTCATCATCACCATCATCATCACTGTACCTCCTTATCGTTGGTCGGAACATGGTTCTTTGGGTAGATGATACAAAATGTGGGACGCAAACCCTACTTCCCGGTGTTTTTGTCGAGACACCATCTCTAGATAGGCTGCCACCCAAAGGCTAAAATCTTCTTTCAAGCCATAAAATGAATAATCCCGCACCAGACACCAACTTGGAATTTGAATTTCCACGGACTGTCTTAGAGACTCCAGTTCCGGATTTATACTCAGGGTTTACTCTCTAAGCCTTTCCCATAGTTGGGTAAGGCAGCGGAGGTTTAAAATTAGAGTTTTCCTTTTCTTAGATGGGCTACCCTCCCGGGCTGACATATTTCATCTTCTCAATGTGTATAGATACATGAATAAGCATATATATTTAACACTGGATGTCAGAATAAACAGTTCGCCATGAAATGTACCAAATGTTTTATTATATAGATTCTCTTTATCCTTTCCCCAAACAC